TGATACAGACCAATCACAAATGTGAATTCTAAGACAACGTAATTTCTAATTTTTCAATATAAAATTGCTATTTTTGTTGTTGTAAAATGTATTCATTCTGCTTTCAGGTAAAAACTACTAAAGTCGAGAAAAGAAAAAATGAAATAATCAACAGACTCAATAAAACTAAACAAGAGTTGTTCCCTGATTTGCGAGAACAGCGAGAAGAACGTGACAGGGAAGATAGAGAAGTTGCTAAAGAACACATGAGAGAACAGGTAAAGAATAATGTAACAGATTATAATAGTAAAAAAAAAACAGATTATAATGGTGCTAGTAACATTGATGAGAGAAACCATAGCTGGTGTATCAGAATGTACATAATTGCAAGTCAGCTACAAAATCTAGGTCTATGTGATGTCACTACCGTAAGATTGTACAACACTAATTGTAATGATTGTTGTATTTTCCAGAGAAAGAAAGAAAAGGAGGAAGAGAAAAGAAGAAAAGAAGAAGCAGCATTAAGGTTAGACTTTATTTCTATCCTTATATTCCACTTGTGCAGTCATCAATAATATGATGTATGTCAGCTGTCAGMACTTCAAGAAAACAACACATGAAGGATAATGGTTATGTTCATGTTTGGCTTAAAACTCTGTGTACAACCTTCCACACCTCACCCCCAACTCCAACTGGAAAGATGTGAGAATAATGTTGATAAATTAGTTGACTGAATTATTTTACTCTGACAGGGATTACTCAACACTATTAACAGAAGATAAAATGAAGTCAAATAGAGTAAGTAAATGACAGTTTTGCACTTGATTAATGTTTTTACTACATTAGATTGCTTTGATGATTTAAGAAAAAAACATCAATCAAGTGAACAACAATGACGAGGCATTGATAACTAGAGTGGTTGCACTAAATCTGTGAAACAAATACTTTTAATTACTGCTTTTGAATAATATGATTGCATGTCTTAACTGAGAATCTCCTTTAATTATTTGCATTGTCTTAAAATCTACGCTTTGGCTGACTTTCACTGAAAATTTATAATGGAGCAGAAAAGAACTTAATGGAGATCAAGAAGTCAATTTTAWGAYAAAGGAATAAACAAACTAACCTASAAATGCTATTGTCATCTAAACTTCACTGTCAAAGTGTTCTTTTCTTTCCATTGCACTGTGGACAACCCTCTTACACTTTGTAATAACAATGGTCCTCACATTTTARGGTTATTTATACCCTGACCCTTCTTCTTAATCTGCTTTTTGATGGCAGTTTTCTTGTWTTCCAGGAGTGCATTTCTGACGAGGATGATTTTATGTAAATACCTCTTTAATTGAATAAAATTATTYGAAAATCAATCAAACATAATTTTATTATTGTTTCATGATATTTGACAAGAGTAATAGTTCTACTTTTACTGTTTTGTTTCTATTTTTATTCAAATCTATAACTATTTTGTATTTATATTAATCCTTGATAATAGTGTTGAAGTCAGTTAGGTAATTATTGAGAAGTGTAAGTTTTATAAAACGTGAATTGATTTTGTATATCGTATTTCTAAATGTAGCTGTAGTGTGGTGGTTCTGGGGCTCTTTCCWCATCTTCAATATWTKTTGACTTYGCTGCCACAGAGCTTTTTTTATTAGTGTCAAGTATATACTGGCATGTCTCTTTACCAAGATCGCCATTAACACATTTAATATAACGATCAATATGACTTTTTAAGAATRGTAGAGGAGCAGAACCTTGCTTTAARASCTGATAGTRAAAGTCTTTTAGATTGAATYTAGAACCCAGTATCTTCTCAGCCTTCTCTCTCATTTTAATAATCTCCAGTCTGCCTATCATGTATGCTGTGGCTTGTCCAGGATCACTCTGGTACCGAGTGACTTCTTTGACAGCAAAATCTGATGTATCCCATGCATAGTCTTCAAACATCTTGAGTGCTTCTGTCCTGAGAATCATAGTATGAGATAACTGCATAAAAAATGAAATTTATTCATCACCAGGTTGTTGTTGTTGCTCATGTTGCTTAAATACCTTTTCATTGCTCTTGCATGAAGACCAGTGTCAACAATCAGACGGACAGCTCGCCAGGCCTACACAAAATCAATCAGTCAAACTTCAAAACCAAAATGTTAGTTGCTGCTTAAAGGGGGCATTGATCTTTAATCTTTAAACCCTTTAAATAAATTAATTGTCACTAGCGAGCTAATCCGGCAATGGGGCGGCCAGGGGTGGCTGGCCTAGAGAACAATGACAGGCAATGGATAACATAATAAATAATGAGTAGATAATTAATAAATAACAAATAAATATAATAAACGGCTACAAGACGTCATGACGACATCATGACATGATTTGATCCATGCTGCACTATTCAGATTGCAAAAGGTGTTGGTTGAAAGCACTTTTCAGTCACCAGAAACTACACTGCATTTCATGTACAGAAAATCTAAGAAAAATTTGCAATATTATACTTTTCTGAAAATGCTGGAAGCACACTATACTTTTTCGAAAAATGACAGTTTACCAATAATTTCCCAAAGACATCCAAAGATCAAACCTTGTATTGGGGTACTACCACTCTAACTTGGGAAAGGGTGTGCTGCCAGGGTCCCAAAACCCTAAATGCTATCCCAAAGCTAAACGTTCAAGTTTCCATACCCTACCCCAGACTAAACCTTTAAGCTAAACTAAACTTTGAAATTGAATTTGTACTGTTTCAGTGTTGATAGTAAATGTACCTTATTCCATTATTGTAAACCTCTCCCAGACAAAAACCATACCCTGTCCCAGACAAAATGTCAAAAAGGGTACCCTACCCTAAACCTAAAAACTGAAAAATTGTACCCTATAGTGCTGCACATACCCTTATAGCAAACATCTATAGATTTATGAGTGGATGCACGTGACCTATTGCCAGGAAATTAGTCTCAGCTCACCTGCCATTTAAGCATACCATACTTTTGTAATAGGTTATCTTTGTATGTATCTGTATCATGAGATAGTAGTGGATTCTCGCTGTATAATGCCCAGCCCTCGATAAAAGCAGTGTAGTAAGCAAGACCATCTAGCCATTTGGTAACCCCACCACAGCTATCCTGGAAATGTTCTAGTTGACCTAAAAAAAACAACCATTCTCGCTATTAATCAAATAAGGACGTTTTCCACTTTGTATTTTCTAAGTTGAGTCCGAAAYATTATCATGCAACAACATGCACCTTGGTATTGTGTGTGGTGCCCAGGACGTGCCTCGTGCGCTGTCACAGACCATTCCTGGAAGACTGGGCCATAGTCTTTGAGAAAGAATGGCAGTCCAAMCTCAGTAGATTTAGAGCATGATGAATCACTTCTCCTAAAGAACTGGGCWCCATTAGATGGGTTGTAATGAGGAGTCATTTTGAYTGGACAGTTTGGTGCAGTGACCTTAGAACCGGTGAAGTAGAAGAGGTTGGTGATCTTTGGATATAACATGCCCATAATCTGTTAAGTGGAATCAAGATTGTAAGCCTGATTAGTGATCATTTTTTAACCATTATAACATAACATCAATGCAACTGCGCTACGACGAAACGGTAAAGATCGCAACTTTACAGCTATTTGAACAGYCGACCTTGCCGGCGCCGTCTGATGAAGACACAAATCGCCACATACATTAGGATGCTCTTTGTCCTGCTCGTTCCTAAATTAGTGCTTGTTTGTCCGTATGTTCGTTTCTTTGTTGTGTTTGTAAGTTCCGTGGGTTGGTGWATGGTTGTAGGGCGTAGATTTAGCAATTAGTTTATCGATAGTTGAGTTACCTCTCTACAATACGCTGCCCACCTCTGGACGGCTGCCCAGCGRACAGGGCAATGTTTCTTCGCTGTCTCTGGACTGATGCATTTCTTGAATGCATTTTCGTTTGATTCATTGGTGGGAAACGGACCATGATTATGCCACATTCTACTTGAATTGAGTTCTTTCTTGAACGCAATAACAGCCTCTGTTTCGTTGGATATTCCAGTATATTGCTTCGTTA